ATTTTTACGGGATCCATCTGAATGCATGCACTAGCCACGATGTAACCCAGAAAACATACTTGGCTTTGTCATGAAGTGACATTTTTTGGGAGGGCATAAAGTTGCTTGGCTCGCAATACCTCGAATACTGCCTTCAGGTGATGCAACTGATCTTCCTTTGACCGGCTGTATACTAGATTGTCGTCAAAATAGACAACTACAAACTTTCCCATGTGAGGTCAGAATACCCGATTCATTAATCTTATGAAAGTGCTAAGTGCGTTTGACAGACAGAAAGGCCTAAGGTCCACTCGTAAAGTCCGTCACTCGGCTTGAAGGCGGCCTTCCATTCGTCCTTTAGCTTCATCTGTATTTGGTGATATTCGCTGCGCAAGTCTTATCTTGGAGAAGTAGTGGCTCCATGTAGCTGGTTCAAGAGATCATCCAAGCGGGGTATGAAAAATCGATACTTAATGATAATCTTGTTGATGACTCGGTTGTCGATGCACATTCACGACAATCCATCCTTTTTGGGCACTATCAGACCCTTGCAATTTGGTTCTGCACTTACCATTGTAGTTCTTCATACTCTGCAGGCCTTAATCTATGGGCTGGTTGGTTTGGCAATATGGATCCTGATATAAGGTTGATGGCATGCTGAATGTCTCTTAGTGGTGGTATTCCCTTTGGTATGTTGTCGGTCATATCATCCAGAAAGTCCTGTACGAATGGTTGCAATATTGTTGGCACTTCTCTTTTTTCTTCGTTTCCTTCAAGACGGACAAATGATAGTATTACAGGGGCATCTCTGACCAATTGCAGGAAAGTGGTACGAGGAACTAATGCTGTCTCTGTATTGCTCCCGCCTTTGGTATTCTTAGCAGGTAGTAAAACTATATGTTTTACATCCTTCTTGAAATAATAAGTATTTTTGAACCCGTCGTGTTGAGTTTTGTGATCAAATAGTCAAGGTCTACCTAATAGAATGTGGCAGGCGTCCATAGGAACCACGTCGCACTATACCTGTTCGTGGAGTTGGTCTCTGATGGAGAAGTCGCTAGGCACTGCTGATCTACATGTCTCGTTTCCCGTCTTCAGCCATGTAAGGGAATATGACTTGGATGTTTCTGTGCTTTCAATCCTAACTTTTTTACCATTTGCGTGGATGCCACTTTCTCGCAGCTTCCACTGTGGATGATCAGGCTGCAGACCTTCCTCTTGACGGTGCACTTGGTGCGAAAATGTTATGCCTTAGCTAGGATTGGTCTCGCACGGGTTCATACTTTAGTATTCGTCGAATGACTAGTGCTTCTCCTTTGTCTCCGTGGAGCTGGAGCTCTTCTTTTGGCCTCTCCTTTGATTCCTCATCAACTTCCTCGACGACGCCTTGATCTGCGAGGGTGACGACGCGGTTTGTTGGGCAGCTGGAGGCAAGGTGACCGCAACCGTGTTACCAGAAATAACTTGGCTGGCATTGTATTGGAGGAACTATGTTTTTCTGGCTTTTTCTTGCTCTGGTTTGCTCTATTAGTCCCTTGTCCAATTCTTTTATTTCTTCTCGAGGTACCCTTGTCTGCTGTAGCAGTTGCAGGTGACTGCTTAGTTGAAGGTAGTGGTATGAATGATGAATGTTACCTGCTTTGCTTCTGCTGTCTCTCCAACCTTAGATCTAGTCTGGACATCCCCCAATGTCTGGTATGGCTGTAGCTGTACCACATTGCTAATGGTGGGTTTTAGGTCTCCTAGATATCTGGCGATCATGTGCTCTTCTAGCTTTGTCAGCTCACACTTTAGCTGTAGGTGGTCAAGCTGGGCTGTGAACTCTCCAACTGATATCTCTTTGCTGCAAATTGTTAAGTTTTAGAAATATATCCTGACGATATTGTGGTGGGAGGTTTTTTTTCATTGCCTTTTTTATTTTCTTTCACTTAGTTATTTTTTCATTTCTTCCCTCTGCTTTTGTAGATTCTGCCACCATAAGGAGGCATTTTTCTTTAGTTTAATTGCAACTAGCTTGACTCGCATGTCCTCTGGTACGTCTTCCTATTCGAAGATTCGTTCGACTGTTTGCAGCTAGTCGACAAACTCATTGGGGTCCATGCTTCCCTCGAACTCAGGGAGGTCTATCTTGATGCCAAAGTCTTTCTGGCCTTCATAGGGGGCCTCCTCTCTTGGCCTCCATTGATATTGGATACCAAACCGACACGGATGATATTCTTCGTTGTTGTGATCGTTCATGTGGAACATATTAAGATTCTCGTCTCTATCCTCTCTACGACTCTCTCGATCACGGTCGAAGGTAATCTCTTTCTGGTTACAGTCATCTAACTCAACTAGTCTCTGTTGTAGACTATGAATTTCACTTTGGAGTGTCTTATATATCTCTTAGCGGTGGCATGGTTAGAGTTGGGAATTGAATGAAAAAAAGCTGATGGAGGTGGATTGGGCAGGGGCGTGGCATGGTTAGAAATGGGAATTGAAAGAAAAAAAAGTTGATAAAGGTGAATTGGGCAGGGGCAGAGGCTGGGAAACCCTAGGATAGGATTAAGGTTGAGCTGAATCTGATACCAAATGATATCGAAACTTGTTGGGATGTGGCGTAATACAAACACTTTTTTTTAATATAAAAATACTAGTACAACGCGACTCAACAAAAGGAAAATACGATAATAGATGAATCCCTAACTAGAACTATAGGAAGAGATTCGAAGACGGTAACGGCGTCGACGGGGTGATCGGTCATTTGGTAGGTATGGGGATTGTATGTGGTTGGTTGTAGGTGGATTGGAAGTGAAATCGTGGAGGAAGTAAGGGTGTTGGTAGAGTGGTGGAATGTGGGGTTGATAGGTGGCTAGTGGAGTGGTAGGGAAAAGGGATTGGTGAGAAGTAACAAAGGAGTATGAAATTTACAACACCATCTCAGAGCAGGATACAACCAAAGAACTATCTGTCATCCGTTACAGTCCTAACAAGTGGGAAGAGACTCCACACAGGAAATTTGAAGGCAACTCTAGTAGCATTGCCTCCGACACACTCGGAGGACAACTATTTATAGCCTCCAATTTCTACACAAAGGAAGGAGAGTGGGGAGGTAAGAAGAATTAAAAAAAAGTCTTTTCCAGAAGAAGACAAGTGTGGAAGGTGCGTGAAGCAGCCTTGGATTGCAAGGATTCGTGATTAGCCCCCCGATCCCACACCGATCCCACATGTGGGATCGCGATTCTTCTCCCCGTAGTCCCGCGATCTCGTGCCGCACTTCCGCGAAGCTTCGTAGGATCGGGATCGAAGCGCCCCATTGTTATGAGGCGCGTCTAGCACCTGCGTCAAATGATGGTTGTAGATGGAAGGTTGCGGCGGTAGGTGTAGTCGAAGATAATAACTATCTTAAAATGAGATACGGTCGGAGCACCACTCATCTTTGGATATAACTCTAGAAGGGAAGGCTTGGAGACTTGACGGAATTGCCCGAGAAACACAACATATATTTTATGATAGATAACTAGGGGAGGACCCCACTCCTATTGGGCTGCAATCCTAGCCCTAAGCGCTTGTTGGCCCCTCTATTTCCCATATGAACTGGTCCAAAGCAGTAGTCTTTCCCGCTTCCTGTCGCAATTGGTCACAGAGAGTCATGCTGCCCATAGGTTGCGAGAGAGGACAAGGAGTGCTAAGAGAGAGTACAAAGGAGGGAGAGCTAGTCAGATCAACAACAAAATGAGTATGCTAAGGAAACTAATGAGAAATAGTGTGGGTTGCAGGGGAAAAGTTAGTGAAAGCGTCGTTGGATTATTTGCAGGCAAGAGCAATGTCGGAGTTTCATGTGCAGGCACGTTGGATTGAGCACTCGGCTCTTAATACATTGTAATTGGCCGTTCTGGTTGTGAAAGAAGTGCGACTATTTTTTTCATATATTTTTTTTCTCAGTTGTTTTATATAGTACATAATGCCAAACTTAAGTGAAAATATTAGTGATCAGGTATAATGTAGTCGGAGGGTTTTTTTTTTGTCTGGAGATTATGTGTGTTATATAAAGAATGACTGGTCCCTGAAAGAGATAGTGGTGTAAATAAGACAGTATGCAACAAAATCCATGTTAGAGAAGGGATAAATAAGATCCTTTAATAGCGGTATTGATAGAGAGCATCCACAAAGGTATTAAGGAAGAGTGCAAGCGAGGAGTATCAACCAAGACTTATATATGGAGGATGGATAGAGCTCATCGACTGAGAGGTTGATATGTAGTTAGGAATAGGATCAATGGCACTTGTGCAGTCATTGCTGGAGATTATGGGTAGATTGTAGGGGATAAACAAAGCTTGCATGAAGGAGGGGGGAGGATAATTGCCTCGATGTCAACAAAATTGCATACAGGTTGGTTAATGATGATAATATGTTGCATGGCATTGATGAGTATGTGTATAAACAAGATTTTAGACCATGCCTTTGAAATTATGTTAGAAGGGACAAAATTGGAAATGGATATATTTTTATTCAAATTTTTTCATTGCTTAGGTATATTTGTGCCTATATTAGAGGCAAGATAAGAGAACTGTAAAGATAGAGATGTGGATCTCAATGTGGAAAATGCCAATAGAGGCAGATGGGTCATAGCCATAAGATAGTATGAAAACAAGCCAATGGAGATCACAAATTTGAGAAGTGTGACATTGATGAGTATGCATATAAAGAAGATTCTAGACCATGGCTTTGAAATTGTGTTAGAAGGGAAAAAATTGGAAATGGATATATATTTATTTAAATTTCTTTATAGCATTGGTATATATGTGCTTATATTAGAGGCAAGAGAAGAGAACTGTAAAGAAAAAAAAAAATACAATAGAGCTGAGTATTCTCAATAACTAGGAAATGTCATCAATAAAAATTTCAGATTTGTACTTATATAAATGGCAGCACATGCGCGCTCGAATCTGTCTTTAAACTCTCACTGTTCCACTAGATGCAGTAATCTTGTATTCACAGCTTTATCTGATATTTCCTTCCATAATTTCTTAATTTTGCAGTGTTCTAACGGCCATACACTATGTTCTGGATGCAAGCCTAGAGTGCATAACCGTTGCCCAACTTGCAGGCATGAGCTTGGCAATATTAGATGCCTTGCTCTGGAGAAAGTGGCGGCTTCTCTTGAACTCCCCTGCAAATACCAAAATTATGGCTGTATGGGTATATATCCCTATTATTGCAAGATGAAACATGAATCACAATGTCCGTTTAGGCCATATAATTGCCCTTATGCGGGATCTGAATGTACCGTTGTTGGTGACATTCCTTTCTTGGTTGGCCATCTTAAAGATGATCACAAAGTTGACATGCATAATGGAAGTACATTTAACCACAGATATGTCAAATCAAATCCACAGGAGGTTGAGAATGCAACTTGGATGCTAACGGTACTTCTCTAATCCTAAATATTCTTGTGATACTTAATTTTGTTTCTATTGACAATTCGACATGTGATTCAATGAACCTTTATGATTTCCATAGAGAAGTCTTGTCTCTTTTTTTCAGTTTAATCATTACTTAAACGGATTTAGAAACATTATAATGGCTAATATATTGGTAAGGCAATAATGTCAAGTTCAATCTCAACTTTCTTAGTTTTAGTTAAGCATTCACCATAGCACACAATTAAGGTAATGAAACTTGTCATTTTGTGTTTTTGCTAAATTTATGATTTCCATGAGATTATTAACTCAAAATTTAGGCACTAATATATTGATTAGAAGCAGAAAGTCTTTACAACTAATTTCTTTCATTTATCAAGCTTAATGATACTAGTATGAAAGTCTATTTGTCAATCATCTGCATCGATATTGATTTAGTTCTCTTTCACAATTTCTATTTTCTAGTTTGTTTTTAGTAAAACATGCCAATGTTGATGATTCCTTTGAGAACATATTCTGTTATGTAAAATTTATGTTGGTTTAGTTTAGTTCCTATTATGGGTTTGGTCCAATTGTTAGCTTCTTGTTTCAGCACATATTTGACTCTTGGCTGTTGCTATTATTTGCCGTTTTTATGAGATTTTTATTTTCTCTTTTGTTTCCTCTGTTTCTATTGTGGATCCTTTTTATCCTCTGTTTCCCATTGTATTTGGGTTTGATACATATTACTGTAACTTGAACCATTAACTTGGGGAGACTTCTTTGTTTCCTTGTGATCCACGTGTTGTTCCTCTGCCCCCCTTTGGAATCTACGATTGATCGGAGGTGTGTTTCACATGCTCTGTTGTTGCTGCTTGTTGCTGTTTTTTGTTGCTTTACGTTTTTTGTTCCTCTCTTTAATTTTTAACTGCCCTTATTATAGCTGGAGTTGAATTCTTTGTCATGTCCAAACAATGACCGCCTGGTTTTCTGTTCTTCATGACTTTCCTTTGACAACTAGATAGTGATTTCTATGCTTCCTTCTACTCATGGTTCCTACACATAACGAGAGCATGGAATTAGTCGGAAATGAATTGCTTGAAGTTGGAGACTTATTTTTAATGTTTAGAATAGATTCTGAAAATTTTTAAAACGATTTATTATTGGTCTAATTGTGATTATAATTAGACTCCTAGGCATGAAAATTTCATTTGATGTTAAATACAATCCCATGAAAATGGTGATCCACCGGTGCACATCATGCGAATTGGGCATGAATTATTAAGACCGCCGCTGAAATATGTCCTCCGCTCAAAAAATGTACTGTGCCGATGCATCCGAAATGCCGAAAATATCTAGAGAAGACACTTATAGTGTATAAGTGTCAGGTCTTTGCATGCTAGTCGATGTCTCGCATATGAGATGCCCAAAATTCAAGAAATTGCTCGGAACAAGGAAATGTGGGAGAAAATAAATCAGTGAACAAATAATTTATTTCAATATATATAAATTTTAATAGTTTATCAAAATTAATAATATTATTGTTAAAAATAAAAAAGGTGGTATCCCACCTCTACCCATATCTCTCATTGCTCGAGGCCTGCTGGTGCTCTTTGCGCTCCTTATTTTGCTTCTCCCCAGGTCGTCTTTGTCCTCATTTGCTGGTGCCCTCGCAGTTCGCTCCCTTGCACATGAAGCACACTCCTCTCCAGTGTCACACACCAAGCTCAGTTCAGGCTCCTCTTGTGCTTCCCTTCGCACAGCTCCCACAGCTGCTACTACCTGCGACCACTGGGCCAGCCACTCCCTTCTTTTCTGCTTCCAAATTCCCGATCCAGCCTTGTTTTCCTGTACTGATATCATGTGAGCCCAACCTGCCACCCTCATTTACTCGCAAAAGCCTCTTTCGCCTTTGTCAACAGGATGCAGCTACATAGTTGCACTCCAATGCCTGTCATGCACCTACCTGGACGGCACAAAACTGCACTGTACCCAACTAGCTTGATAGCTCCCATTTTTTTCCGGCTTATGCAGCTCTCTCGACACTTTACTGCAAACCCCAACTTTCCTCTATTTTGCACAATGGCAATGCTTCTCAACTCTGGAGACCCAGTCCCGAGGTGGCTGCTCCTTTGCGAGCCCACTTAGTCCACCTTCGTCCATAAGGGCATTCACAATCACAGACGAAATCAGTTGAATTCATTCATTGTAATCAGCATTCAGCTGCTTATTGATTTTTTTTTTTTCATTTTTATAGGTTTTCAGCTGTTTTGGGCAATATTTCTGCCTGCACTTTGAGGCATTTCAGCTGCAAATGGCCCCCGTCTACATCGCTTTCCTCCGTTTCATGGGGGATGACTCCGATGCAAAGAACTATAACTACAGCCTTGAGGTTGGGGCAAGTGGCAGGAAGATGATCTGGCAAGGTGTGCCGCGTAGCATAAGGGACAGTCATAAGAAGGTTCGTGACAGCTACGACGGCCTCATCATCCAAAGGAACATGGCATTGTTCTTCTCAGGCGGCGATAGGAAAGAATTGAAGCTCAGAGTTACTGGCAGAATATGGAAGGAACAGTAAGTTTTATCTCTGCTATAATATGGGTACTACCCTTAGTATAATTCATATAAATATTGTACTATTTGCTTAGGACACCAGCTGTTTCTGTCTCTCCAATCATGGTTTTTTCCTTCTCTTCTCTCTCTTTTTCTTTTCTTGTTTTTTTTTTTTTGGTGATTGTAGTCAGTGAAGACATTTTCAGGTATTGTGACGCATGAGTGGGAAGACAGATATGTTTGTATCAGTAATTTAATTCATGTGAGTTCGGTTTTTTTTTTTTTTTTTCTTATGTGTTGGAAGGATGACACAATTCAAGAGTGGTTTGAATTGAGTTGTTTATTATTATTTATTGTTTGTATAATATTTTGTCAATTCATCAAAGTTTGTGGGTGTGATTGAGGGTGATTTGAGCCAAAATAATATTTGATTATCAATATGAACAAGATAAAAATTATAGGGACCATAAGTGGTTTTCTTTTGATCTCGCATTTTTTGCAAGGCCAGTCTAATTTTGATTCTGTAATGCATATTTTTGTTAATAGTGAACAATCTTTATGTAGTCTTATTCAGTTGGAATAATTAGCTTATATAATACCCATTTTTATACTATGTTATTGATATATATTCTCCTTCCCTATGCATAAAATTGAAAATTTTCACTTCATCTATGTTTAATAGTTTTGAATAAGCTGCAATAATGAGAGATTTATAATTACAGGTTGGGGGATGGGGATGGCCTCATCTCCCCTAAATTTTAGTTAACTTCTATTTTCATTTTATGGTATGAAAGTTTCGTATAATCTCCACATTTCTGCTAGTTCCAATTCCAACTGCTATTTATTTCCCTTATTTATTACATGATGTAAAGAATATGGCTTTTTCAGTGTTTATCTTGACCCAAATCGAAGAATGTTTAGATCTATGGGTGTGCCCAACCTTAAACCTACATAACATTATTTTCTCCAAATAATCAAATAGCCGGCGAACCGTCTGGAACATTAATAGTTACTCAGATAAAAGCAATATAAACAAATAATAACCAGTTACTTAGCCCGAATGACAAACATCTTTATTTCTAACGGCGAAATATTACAATTTCATCTGATGCAATTATGTTAAAAATTCATATTTTTAACAATTTAGTACCTTTGAGTCATCCTGGTAAAATATGAATAGATTTTCATCCTTGAAAAAAAGTTAGTATTTATATAGACGGCAGAAAATGGCATTGAAATATCTTCAATCATTTTTAAACGATAGCAAATAACTCAATTCCACTTGAATGGTGGCAAGGAATCTGGATATTTCCAATCAAGTCTCAAATAAGAAACCATAGGAAAAATAATCACACAGAAAATGAAGCAGAATCACAAAACTAAGAATATGTACAGTAGATATAAATACAAACAGAATCCTCACTCCACTTGATCTTCAAATGTTCAAAAATATATATTTTTTAGATGTTTCAATCCATACAATCCCGCATTATTACTGTAGACCACCAAACATACTGAAAGTTTAGAACTTTCTAGAAGTTATTCATCAATGAAGTTGATGATGTTCAGGCATTAGTTTCAATACTACTAGTGCTCAACTCCTCACCGAGAAGAATCAGAGGTCTCTTTCGCTCCATTGGAATCCTTCGAAATCCAGTTTGATTCAAGAAAAGCATCAGAACTCAGAAAATCCCATTGGAACGACTGTTCGTCCAGCATGTCGGCGGTGGAAACCTGTTCAATAGCCTTTGTTGCCTCCAAACCTACATAAAAAACCGTATTTGCATGCTGAGACAAATGAATGATAAAAGAGTAAAAACATAAACCCCTCCTGACTATTTACACGGGCCCAAAGTTTATACGTGCCAAATTAGTCTCTAGACACCTTCAATATGAGCTGAAATGGTTCTCTCAAGGAAGTATTTTAGCCCGTATTAAAAGAGTATGAGGAATAAATTAACACTTCTATATACTTTGGTCTTGGGGACTAAAATGAACTCCGACAAAGAGTCAGTGCAACATTTTGACACTTTTTTCAATTGCAAACTAAGATTAACTAATGCTCACCTGAAGGAGCTTGAGGAGGAAATTCAGGGAAAGAATCGCTCAGGATTGGGACCGTGTTGTAGTTTCCATCATTGATGAGAGAAACAGCAGATTGGGAAAAGGGAGACCATTGATCACTATCTTCCCATTCTGCAGTGCAGTTAACTGTAGTGCTCTCCATCATATCGCTGAGAGTGATAGCAGAAGAACAGGAGCTTTTCTCAGATGACTGATTCTTCGCACAGTTCATCGTCTGCGACTCTAGAACCAATGCTTCTAACAGACCGCTGCTTCTCGGGGAAGCAGATTCAGGCAGGAATGTAACATTTTTTGGAGGAGATTGTACATGGATGTAATAAGGAGATGTACCTGAGCATGTCGTCCAGTTACTATAATTAGTTTCTGGACATTGGAGTGAAGGGAGCTCCAGCTTCACAGTCGGATGCTGCCTGGAAGCAGAGAAGTTGCCATCATGGCTGCCTGGTATGGAAGGACCGAACAATATCCGGTTCTGTTTATCAGGGTCAGGATCATAGGAATAATCAAATCCAAGGTTCCAATTCTTAGATTCATAATGCTCATTTGGGAGTTGTTTGAATGTGGGAACAAAACTGCGAAGGCTGCCGGGGTATCCAGGCAAGCTTGCTTCTGATTTTATATGACTCTGACCTTGATTCAAGAAGCTGCGGGTGTAAGGTCCAAGGCCCTGATGAAGCATGCTTGTAGAATGGATGGCTAATGAAGGAGTAGCATAAGATATTGGAACATTAGTAGTTTTGTAAGGATGGAATCCGAATTCTGGCATCACATAAATGGGAGCCTGCAAAACTCCACTATTATTTATGTCACCATGGCCGAACACAGTGGTACTCTGGTTCATTTGATTCTCCTTTGAAGCTCCTGAGTGCAAATTACTGAGTGGGTACAGTGGCAAACCAACTCGCTGCCTTCTCTTGGTTCGCGTGTTCCAGAAGTTTTTTATGGCATTATCAGTCCGCCCAGGTAACTGAGTTGGACATCATAACATATTGTATTATAGATATAAACCATGTGAATTTATATCCAGAACTATAAATGTTTTAAATTTCTATAAAATCACCTTCGATAATATGCACAAAGGATCTATATATTAACTATCACAAAGAAAAGTAAATAATTTTGTTTGAATTAGAACTACAACACTCTTACCCAAAAAAGTTAATGATTTAGTATAAAAAGAAAAATCATTCATGTTCCAAAATAGGGCTGCCAAAAAAGCTTATTGTTTGCGAAGAAGTGTTCAGCTCGCTAAGTAACTCATGTTTGATTCATTCATTAAGCAAACATGCTGAACAAAAACAAATTTTTTAGCTCGATTTATAAACAAGCCGAACACAAACAAACTTTTGTTCAATCATGCTTGGATCATGTTGGCTCGAATTAATTAAATAATAAATAAATAATATGTTAAAAATTAAAATAATATTATTTTTGTTATGATATCAAAGATTTGTTTTCTGCTAATGTAAAAAAAAAACATTTACGTATTATATATATAAATACAAAAGAATTGGGATATGTATATAAATGTTCCAAGGGGTATGTATGCAAATGCCCTAGAAATATTTCCTACATTTAAGTGTTACATATATAAAGACTTAAGAGTTGTGTGGTATGTATGCAAATGACCCTATAAAGTTTCCTGCACATAGGTGTTGGATATGTAAATACATAAAAAATAGGTGGTATGCATGTAAATGCCCCTAGATTTATCCTACGGTCCAGTTGCACTGCACTGCACCGCACCTAGCATTTACGAGTCAGATATGTAAATACATAAGAATTGGGTGGCATGTATGTAAATGTTCCTAGATTTTTCCCGCCTGACCCGCAATTCAAGTATTTAATACGATTCAGTTAGGCGGTGGAGACCTCTCCCCCGATCACGAATAGCGATCTCCAGTGAACCGACGCTCCAGCCTGCTGCGCCCGCTCCCACTCCCACCTCCTTTCACGAATCGGCGCCCGATAACACTCCCGATCGCGAAGAGTCGCGTCTCTTCTCCAGAAACAGCTCCCGCCTCCTCTATTTCGCGAAGCGAAGCATCCGTTCGCTTCCTTCTCTTCGTGATAAAAGGAGAGGCCCTCCTTTAGATCTGGTGGTTACAGAAAGTCATGGTGTTTCTTCTTTAGGTTTCCTCGGGACAGAGGAAGGAAAGTGCAAGAGGTAGTTCCTTGCGGTGAAGAAAGAAGAAGGAAGAAGAAGAAGATTATTCTCCCTAAATTTCTTCTTGGTGGCTTGTGACAGAAGAGAAATTAGGTATATTTCTCTTGTAAGTTTGTCTTCTTCGGTGTATCTCGGTATAAAGTTTCTTCGGTGTATCTCGGTGTAGAGAGAGAAGAACAGAGAGCAACGAAGAGTGAGAGATTCCTCTTGTAAGTCGAGGTGATCGACTGGTGTAAATTCCTTAAGTAGTAAAATCCTCTGCAACTCCGTGAAAGTAGGCAATTTGCCGAACCCTGTAAATCTGTGTTCTTTTATGGTGTGATTTTTTTCTCGTTTTATTTTTCCCTTCGTGGATCGTTCTCCTGTTTGATTTATATATATACCACATCAACTGGTATAGTTCATAACAGATTCTAAGACTCCTAGAAGATACTTGGGAAGCATATTTTGTGGAGAGATGTTTGTGGAATAGTAATATGTGGTGGCTGGTGTTTTGAAGAGATTGCGAGGATAAAGATGTCATTAAACAGTAGGATTGATGTTGTCGGTGGCTGTCCTAGCTGCAAACAACGTAAAAAAATCCAAATTGGCGAAATTCGGGCGACGAGGAGGTTCCACCACCTATTTCTAAGCTAGATATAGATACATTACTTGCAAAAGGAAAATGATACAACACTATGGCTGCAAACAATGGAGAAATCTCCGGATCGGTGACTTTCGGGTGGCAAGGAGGTTCCATCACCTGTCCCTAAACAAGATACATATACATCCCTCGCAACAAAAAGATGATACAACATTCTAGAGAGCAAAACTTAGAGAAAGTTTCTCACATTCATAAAATTAACAATATAAAAAATCCAAAACCCAAATACAACATATACAAAAATTATAACAGTAAATAACTTAATTGAAAATAAATAAAAAAAGAAGGAATAGGAAATAAACCAAAAAGGTGAAAATCCAACTAAATTGTGAACAACAGATATCTCGAGTTAAAATTGATCCTTGCAGTCTAGGGTGTTGGTGCGATCCCGCAGACACGAGATTCTGCGATCCTGCTAGACGCGAAATGCATAAAACGTTGCCACGTCATTTTCCAAGGTCAGAAAAAACTTTTCTTTTTTGAAAGGACCTAGTTCTCACTGTTTGTTGCTATTTCCCACAAAACACCTAAGAAAATTTCCAAAGCTTCAATTCACCACTCCTACATGGCCATCGATTCGTGGGTGCGCCGCTAAACTAAATTGAGATTTAGTACCCAACATACTCCATATGACCTTCTAGAAATAGGTTAAAAAATTTATTATCTTTGACATGTTGTACCTTCTTCAGTAGTGGCAACTCAAGATATAGACTATATGTTTGAAAATCTTGAAATTCTCTTATTTGAGGTTACCGTGTGTGTCGGTCTTGTTGATACTCTACTTAATGCCTACAGAAGAAGTAGTTCACGACACCACATCCTCAAACGCTTTATGAATGCCCATTACCTGAAACTCACTACTTTTAGGACAACTAATGTTAGTCTAGTTGAAGCTCTCTTATGGGCTCAGTTTGAATTACTGCCAATTCACCTTTGTTGGCTAGAAGCCGATAATCCTCTTCGGCTTCTTTAGCTTCTCCAGTGTCTCCAGAGTCACTGTCTATGTTTTCCATAGCTTCTTGCTCAGGGCACCTAAAGCACTGCCTTAGTGGGATGGATTTCGGAGTGCAAGAGGTATCCACCTTGTCTCTAATTTGAACTAAATTTTTCTTTAGCGGGGCAGGCTGGGATACTCTATTGTGTACTTCTGTTGCTTGATCATAAGGTTAAACTCTGCCTGTAAGATGTTGCGATCATCTGATGACATTACTGATTCTCCACCTTCAATGCTAGAGTTTGTACATTAAGTAGGGACTAATACAGCTATAACTACACCACATTTATAGTAGAAAACCTTAGTCCTCATTAGATTTATTGCCACTGTGTGCTATAGTTCCACCAACTCATATTTCAACATGAGTTGACCAAAGTCAGCTATGTAAGCCTCCACAGAAGTCTCTCTAGCACAGATTGTGGAGCTTTTATGAACATGTCTTATCCGTAACATGGGAGCAGGTGTTTGGGTTGTATTTCCCTTTATATTTTGGACTACATGGTGAACTTACCATTCTCTTCTTGCTGTCGAATACGCTTCAAGTTTTCCCACCACAATGAAGCATTTTTTCAAAGCTTGATGACTGTCAATTTAACTCTTGACCTAAGAAACATCCTTATACTAAAAAAATAGCTCTATTATTTGAAGCCACTCGATAAATTCATCTGGATTTATGCGACTGTCAACTCTGATAAATCCACTTATTACTCCAATATCATGCTATCTCCTCTGATATTCCATTGCAAATCATCGAGATAATGGTTATTCGTCAGTGGAAATTGTCTGATTGAAAGGATTAACTTCCTACTCTCGATCTAACGAGTCATTGTTGTTGCTATGGTTGAGATCAACGTATTGTCTCATTTTAAAAGTGGCAATCATCTGTTGTTGTTGGAGGATTTTCCTTCCATAATAAGTTCCTAATTACATCATTAAGGGTTTTCCTTGTCGGCATAGTGTCTCGTTTTCCAAACAAGTTTCCTATAGAAAAAAAAAAAGATAATTTATGGTTAGGGTTTTGGTGGTAGTCGTCAAGGTCAAAATTTAGTGGAGTTAGGAAGAATAGTTTTCAAAAAATTTGGGTATAGAGCTAGGAATTATGATAGGAATGTTTTGGGCAAGGAGCTTTTATTTGGATTTTAGGATTTGGGTCAGAAAAGATAAATGTATAAAAAAATAGGGTTCTCCTGGTTCTGGTACCAGATGATACCATTCTAAAGCTTCTAGAAGGCATTTGGGGAGTAAATTTTGAGGAGAAATAATTGTGGAATAGCGAGGGAAGGCTAATATGTGAGGAGTATGGTGTTTGGGGATTACGAGATAAAGATGTTGTTGGGCAGCGGCTGTGTCTGTCCAAACTACAAATAGCGGAAAGAACTCTGAATCAACGACATTTGAGGAGCAAGGAGGTTCCACCACTTGTCCCTAAGCAGAAAAAGATACATCACCTGCAATAGGCATATGATAAAATGTTCCAAATGCAAACAACCGAGAAAACTCCAAATGGACAATGTAGGGAGGCAAGGAGGTTACATCATCTATCCTTAAGCGAGATACAAATACACAACTTGCAAAAGGAAGACAACACAACACTATGGAGAGAAATATTCAGAAAAACATCTCTTATATTAAGAAAATCAACAAACTGAAAAGTCCAAAACATTAATACATATATAAAAGTCTCATAATAGAAAATAACCTAATTAAAAATAAATAAAAAGAAAATAATTGAGTAATAAAAAATGGAAATAAATAGAAAAAAAAACCTAGCTAAGTTGTGAATGACATATATCTCAGTAGAAATTGATTCCTACGATCGCTAGTGTTGTTGCGATCCCACAAACAAGTGAGATTTCACGATCCCGGATACAGAATGCAGAAAGGCACTCCTGCATCAATATTAGTCCCACATTGAGAATTGTCATATTAGAAATGCTTTTTAAAAGCAAAAACAAAGGTTACCGATTTGAAAAGCTTCGAAAGCTCATGGCAGGGAGGTGATACTGTTACTTTTTCAATATTTAGTTTTCTCAGTTTGATAATGATAGTTTGAGTGTTCAAGGCGAGGAATGCTCCGCTTGATAAATAAGCGAAATGAGGAGCTTCTCGATTAATCAAGCTCGAATTGGCTCAAATTTTAGCCAAATACAAGCTAATTCCAAC